TTTTTTTTTTTTTTTTCTTTGATTATCTAAAAACAAGTGCCTTTTGGTCCTTCATATACTTGCATTTTCAGGCCATTGCCTCAGATGGGCGCATTGATGTCTCTATTACCCCTTCACACAGCGGTCTCATCTGCTAGGCTTACTTCTTGTCTGGGCCCGGACACAAATGGCTGCAGATCTTTGTCTCAGGGTATGCTTTGCAGTGCCAACCCTGGAGTTTGATACATTTTGTAATGTTTCTGTAAGATAAGCACTTCTTTGTTCCTTCATATCAATAGCGAGGATGTGAGATTATATCTTGTTAGTCGCACTCTTTTCCCTTTATTCGTTGGCGGTTTTTTACTTCTTTTGGTGCATCCCTGTGCTATATTTGGTTAATATATGCTTTTTGTACTTGTACGTGTTAATGGGCTAGGCTGTTTAATTAGAAATCAGCTTGAGATAACTAGGGAAAATGTGGCAGGGAGAGGCCTTTCGAGGTATCTGGACTGAAATTTTGAGCTTATTTTGAACTGAATAATTATGACTGTAAATGCTTAAATGGATCAATGGTGTCTTTACTTTTGTGGGAGGTATTTACTTTTGTGGTCAGTATTTAGTCGGTCTTTGATAGGACTTTATCCTACTTAGGACTTGTAGTTTTGTTTTGCGTCATTACTCATTAGGTAGTATTAGTAAGTTATTTATATTTTGTACATATAAACTATTTGTGAATTGTCTATTGGATTCGATCTGCCATCATTTAAGAAAAGCCGTGGCTACTACTTACCTCATTAGAATGCATGATAGAATTGAAATCCGTTTTAAATCTGGATTTTTTTAACCCCTCCCAGCATAGCAGCAGAGTTGGTTATGCTTCCTATATGTTGCTGCCAATAATATCTTTGACATATTATGTATTTTGACAAGTGATTTTTGCCCCGTTATGCTTAGAAATCAGGAAAAAAGACGATTGAGACTAGAACCGATCGATTGCCAAGATTGCAATTTGAAAGACCGACGTTTTATTTTATTCATAATTTATTCTAACATATATCTAGTGTTTTACTCCACGAAAACTCTTTGCATGTTTTATCGAGGCAGTCACTTCCACACTCAATTAGTGAATTTTCCTTTCACTTCCTTTTGATTTTTATTTTTATTTTTTCTTCTTACTCTTTTGTTAGAAGGAATGTGCTGCCTCTTGTCTACCACCTGATTAGTTAGGCTTCACATTTGCGGCGCTCGTTTATTATGTAAGAGTTTTTTTATCTCATAGGACTCATAAGCCCTTGGTATTCATGTTTGTTTGTTGGTTAAAATTAACTGAATACTTTTTATCTTATATCCACTCCTCTTAGATTGGCATCACTACTTAACGTTCTTGCTCATGTAATGTAGTGCCAAATTTGATATCTTGTTTTGAAGTGCGTTAATCACAAACACGGCCTCATAGGTTTAGCCTAGTTTCAAAAACTCCGTTTAAAAAGATAATCTCTTTACATATAGTGGATCTTCACGAGGTGTATTTGTTAGGTAAATACAGTAATACACAACTCAAGCAGGGTTGATCATACACGGTAGTGTTCGTTTTTCATTTCTTCTTTCTCTTTAAGTCTTGAAAACTCGTTTAACGATTAGTTCGTCTCACACAAATATTTGTTGTGACGTGGCATTAGTCTTATATGCATTGTTTCTCATTGCAGAAACAGGTCAGTCCGTGCCGCGATAAAAGGGTTGAAGAAATTGGTTCGAATTTGATGGATCATGGCTTCTTGTTAATCCGAGTCAATACACTCTTTTTGTATGGCTACAGTGGAATTCATGATGATTTTTCATTAAGCTGAGACGTTTTGGTACTTTGATTTTCCTTTGGAGTCTATTTGAATCAAATTTCTGGTATATTGCCTCTCATATGGCTTGTGTTTCAGCCACTGCAAAAACTTGTTACACCTATCGTGTGTATTTTATTTTTTTTTCATTAATTAATTAATTAATTTATTAATTAATTTTTATGAAATAGATTTGTGAATCGCTTTAGCTTGCTTTGCGTATTGAATAAGAGGTCGGAGCAGCCGAAATTTGCTGTCCCAATTTGAGTGCATATGTATTAGGGATATGTATTAGGGGTGTTCACGGTCCGGTTTTAATCGAGAAAAATCGTCAATTCGGACCACGATCGGTTAAATGGTCGATTAAAATAGCCTTAAAAATTTGGTGGTTAATTTTTTAAAAAATTCGGAATAACCAGTCCGGTTAACGGATTACATGCGGCAAACTGCCGGTTTAACCAGACCGGACCGGTAATATAAAAAAACTATAACAAATATATATATACATTTAATCATTCACTATGACCGACAAATACAATACATTCACTTTCACTTTTTGGCATTTTGTTGACTTAATTTTATAAGACACTATAACTTTTTATTTTTTCACACCTTCGTTTTTTTTGTTTTCTGATTTTCCCACCTTCACCTCCTAACTTTTTGAGTATTTTTGTGCTTATGAGACGAATTGTGTATTTTTTATTTTATTATTGTTGTTTTTTTTAATTTTTAGGCCCAAATAATCTATTTTTGGCCCAAAAATAAAAAGTAAAAATTAAGCCCAAAATGAAAAAAAAAAAAAAAAAAAAAAAAAAAAAAAAAAAAAAAAAAAAAAAATTGGAGGCCTAAAACAAGGATTTTGGATTTAACCGATTATCGCCAAACCGGACCGTCCAATGCGGTGCGGATTGTGGCCGGTTAAAAAATTAAAACTAGTCCGGTTATGGATAAGAAAAAAAGTTAACCGTTAAATCCGATTTGGTCATGGTTTGAGCTAAAACCGAATCAATCCAAACCATGAATACCCCTAATATGTATGTAAGATAAAGGCATTTTAGAATTTTGATTGGACCGGTGCAAATATAAACCCAAAAATTGCAGGCCTAAAATATATGAGCCTAATTTTAACTTTTCTTATTACACGAGTCGAACTGATCTTGGAACGAAATCAACTCCAATTCAACTCATTTATCAATATTAACGAGTCGAACTTGAATTTTACAAAAATTAAATTACAAAAAAATTGCAAAATAAATAAATAAATATAGTTATATTTTTTAATCTTAACAATATGAACTTGCCTAGTTAACTAATTGAAATTTAAACTAATCAAGCTGAGATCAATAGCTTAGTCGTTTACAATTTCCAGCCAATAAAAAAAAAATAATAATAATAAACTAACAAATAATACAAATGTAAATTACTATGGCTAATTGCAGTCGTGACTGTAGCACTCATTTTTTCAGTCAAATCATTGTGAATCAAATTCACTCCCTACAATGCAAGAGATATTTGTTCAAAGTATTATAAAATACTACAAATTAGATGGAAATATAAAGGCTATGTTTGTTAAAACTAACTGATAAGCTAGCTTAAAGCTTATCAGTAATTTTCGAACTTATATCTTATAGCTTATGACTTATAACTGATAAGCTAGCTTATATGATAAAAGTGTTTGGTAAAATTAGCTGATAAGCTAGCTGGAATAAAAAATTCAACTAGCTTATTTAAAAAGCTACCAAAAGAAGCTTATCAAATAAGCTCGAGTTTTTTAAATAAGCCAGTCCTACCAAGCAGAGCTTATTTTAGTACAGGGAGCTTATAAGCTAATCAAATAAGCTATAAGCTAGTTTACTGGTCTACCAAACATAGTCAAAGCAAATCCAACAGGCAACAATGATGTTGTCCATGCTTTCACGAAAAAAAAAGAAGAAAATTGACGACCAAATGGTCCAAACATAACACCACGTAAACAAATCTCAAGCACAATTGAGGAAGAAAATCATAATAAAAAAAAACCACACTCTCGACTATATATTTCTTCATTTACCAATTCCAGTGTTGAATTAAATTCCGCTGTGGATAAGAAATAAAAAGAAACAGAAAAAAAAAAGCAACAAAGGTGATTAAAAAATCTACCGGATCGAGCCTTCAGTAATGGAGGGAACAGTGCAGACACCAGCTGATGTTGTGAATGGCAGATTTTTGTAGCAGGCAACCAAATTCTTATCAGTATGCAAATCCACTTGAAGTCTTTCCCAAACCTTCTTCTTAGGATTTAGAATCTCATCAGCCGGTCCTTCAAAACCCGGGAATCTCACTCTTTCACCCACAATCGCCCCGTGGGGAGGTTCGACCAACTCAACCTGCCAAATTTCAACTCACAAGTATATTATTATATGTATTATAATTGCATCATTCAAGTACTTTTTTTTTTTTTGAGGAAGAACTTTTTGTTTTTCATCCAAACACGTGACATGCAAGACATGGCGGGTTATTGAATTACATAATGGCTCCACATCAGCAATTTCGACCAACTTGAATGACACGTGTGCTTTCCCAACCACTTAAAAAATTTCCTAGCAGATCGAGGGGACCCAAATGGCGAACTTTTTCCATTATAAACGGGGGCAAAATCCAAATTGGCCATCAAAGATTTCTTGCGGAGAGGCTGGAGACTAAAATTGTAATTTTTTCTCCTAATTATAAATATCCGACAAATAAATTCCTCATCAGTTAAAAGCAGCTTAGAAGAACCTCATTTCGACTTTTGAGTACACATTTGTTTATAAACATGGGTGGGGCAGTGAAAGAAACGCTCTTATCAAAGTCAAACATGTTCCACTAATCAACTTACAAAGTAGAGAAGTTCATTCAAATCTAACAAAAATATTGTTCACTTTTTTTTTCAAATTGACCCAATAGACATAATTAAGATGTATTGATCAAGTGGCTGCTCACCTTCATGTGATTGTTATCCGAAGCTGCAAGGACCATTGCTTGAGATTTTATGCCCCTCATGGTTGCTGGCTTTAGGTTACAAAGAACACAAACCCTCCGATTCTGATAAAGAAATACACTGTTAGAAAATGTAGCGCCAAAAAATGGGTATTATATGGGTATTAGAAAAGAATGAAGCAGTAAGTAACAAGGTAAAACCTGCATATCTTCAAGGGGTATATAATTGACTAAGCCACTAACAACCGTGCGAGGTTCTGCTTCGCCAACATCAATCTCTTCAACATATAGAGAATTGGCATCAGGATGTTTCTGAGCCTTTGTAATGACACCAACTCGAATATCTAGTCTGCTAATTGAAACTTCGGCATCAGCAGGAGGCGAAACCTTAGCCTTTGCAGAACAAGATTTTTTCGTTGGGTCCTTACCAATTTTACCGTCTGTAAAAAAATTAATTGAACTCAAGTTAGCAATAACTGATATGTTGACAATAATGTATGAATTTCAGGTACAATCAAACTAGTAAACAAAAGTTCGTGCTTTTTGGTCCATCTTCAGAAGATAGAGAAAATGTGAGAATATATATATATATATATCCAGAAAACATGATAGCAATAGGAAAGGCTTTTCTCTAACTCTAATTGTGTTAGTTGGAATCACCCAATCAGAACACTCGCAACATGTCTTCCAACCGATATGACCAGAAAAAACTGTCATATAGAGAGGCGGAAAATGGTGGAAAGCATCACAGAATAAAAATATTTCATATTTATTATACACGGTAATATATAAATATATTGAGAGAGCTAAATATCATAGTAAAGCAAATAAATAGAGCTTAAAAATAGACAGCCAGAAAGAGTTTATTTAACAAGAGAGAGCTGAAACTTAAAAGAAACAAATAGTGAGCTGCAAAATAAAGGGAAAAATGAGTTTTTTAATTTAATATTAAAACATAAAATTAAAAGGCTGAAAAGTGAAAACAAATAAAGGATGCCCATAGTCCATCTAGAAATTAAAAAAGAACAGGAGAGAGAAACAGAGACAGAGACAGAGACAGACAGACACACACACACACACACACACACAGAGAGAGAGAGAGAGAGAGAGAGAGAGAGAGAGAGATCAACCTCTGCCCTTGACAACCCAACAGAGGCTATTTGTTTCACATCATAGCCTAAGATTGTTTGCCTTTATTTACTCCTACGTTTAAAAAACACCTTTGGGTTGCAGATACCTTCACGTGTATTTGACTTGTCACTCATATAAGCAATCTAATTATGTGTCTTAACCTTGGTCATTTGCTACGCATTATGATCCATCAAGTTTATGCAATAGACGCAAAGTCGAACAAAGAGACGACAACTCGATTTAAGTTTTATAGAGCACTACAAAACTAAGAACATGAGTTAAGAGGACGCAGATCAGTGAAAGTATACACAATGGGCGATAGATGGGAAGATGTTCCCGGTCACAGAACCTCAAAAATAGGATTTCATAAATATGATCCGTCAAATAATATGAAAATCATTTAGCAGACAGTCCACGTCATCGTAAACATAGAAAATGTACATTTATCCACCTTTTCTACTACCATTGATCTTTGTATATAGAATTTGGCAACTTCAAATCATAAAATTTTGACACTTGTTCAAATGATCAAACACTACCCTTTCTCTTAGTACAACCGGCTCCCATCACCTGATGCGACATAAGCCATCAGAATGGTAGCCGATATATCGTATCAGAGCAGAGTTGATAATGACATCAGTTATTTGATAAGACAAATATAAAGACAAACATGTACCAAAAGAGATTATATAGAATCAAGCCACAAACAAGAAAGCAAAGGATCCATTGGTATACCAAGTACAAGTTCCCATATGTGAATTAAATGACCACAAGAGGTAAGAACAAAGAATAACAGGGTCATTTTTATTAGACATCATTTATACAGAAACTCGAGCATAAACTTTTTAGAAGACTAGATTTGACCTACAATATGGCATGAAAGGGCACAAAATGTCAAAATCATAACAACCAATGACATTATAAGCCAAGGGAAAATTGAAAAATAACCTGAAATCTTTGCTTCCTTAAGTTTCTCGGTGACTTTTTTCGCCTCAGCTTCAGCCTTCACAATCCTATCGGCTTGACTACCAGCAAACTTTTCCCTATAGAATTCGACTTCCTCGTCTTTCTGCATATAATCAGAACACTTTCATAATTACGCACGCAAAACCACAAAATCACTTTCCGTCAAACTGCAATTTGATAACAAAACCAGCCAGTGGACAAAAAAAAAAGGAAATTACCAGTTCTTTAAACAATGGGGCCGGAGTTCCAATTTTGTGACCAGCCAACAGAAACTCCCAAGGTCTTTTAGACTTTTCAACAACGCCATCTTGTTCAGAAAGTGAAATTTGATCGAGTGGCAGATTAAGCTGCTTTAGTACCTATATAGAAATTAAGATAATGATGAGGAACCGATATTCCGTTTTAACATTATGAATGCTGCACTTGTTAGTGCTAAATTACCTCAGCGGAGAAAGATGGCATAAAAGGTTCTAAGAGGCATGAAAGAAGAAACACTAATCCAGCTGCAGTTTTCATCACTATAGAACAAGTTGCCCGGTCCTCCTTGTAAAGCTTCCAGAATTGGCTTTCCTATATGATGATATATTAATGAACGATATATGAGCCTGGTTAGAACTCATCCCCAAAAGCTAGCTCCAAGGGAGATGGAACTTGACCCACACACACAATAACAGCACAGTAACTTATCAATGTGAACCAAACATAAACTTCTAATAGTTTGCCATTGATAACACTGTGCACAATGCAATCTTACTTGCAAATAAGCATTTCCTTCACCGGATATAGTCATAGCAAGCTTCAATCCTTGCTTTAGTTTCACCTGCACTCAAAGCCAATTGAAGCTTTATTCATGTAACAAGTCCATTCGATATACCAAGACATAAAGAAAGGCCTATCATGTGCTGGTTACCTTCTCCATTGCTTCTATATATTGTTCCACAAAATTACCGACTTTATCACCCAATGCTTTTGTCAATGGATGGGAATCTGCACTCTGAGCATCAGGAATGATAGAACCATAACCCGAACCTGATTTGAATATGACAAAAATTAAGATTAAGCGCTTGGCTTATGTACATTCAGAAATTCAGAAATATAACCAAGACACGGAAAGCCATTGTATATTGTGTAATACAATTCAATGCAGCACACCATAATACATATAAGTTATACGAAAACATCTTTTATCCAAATATAAAAAAGGAACTCATATATTTAACAAATCCAAAACTCAAAGAAGAAATTTTTCAATGAACCAAGAGACCAACAAGTTTAACTAAGTACCAATATTTATTAACTAGGACGACATGTAAAGTCAAATTATCACAAAACAACACAATACAACCATTTGACTAACAGATTTCATTTCGAATTTACGATCAACAAGTGAGAGAAGTAGGGGAACAAGCAAGAGAAAGCAAAGTGTAACTATGAAACTGCACAAACAAAGCTTTTCAAACTATTTTTTTTTTATTAACATAAATCTCACCCTTAAAAAATTTATCAATGCACAAAAACCATTACGAGATTATCCAAATTTCAAAAACTATGAACCTTGTAATTAGACTTCCCCCCCTTAAACCAAGTCAAATTAAATGAGCAGAAGATACTTCAAATTCTCGTACGTAAGAGGCAATGCAGAGGAAGCTATTCAGTGTACAAAGATAATATTGAATATATTCAAACGGCCAGAAAGCCCTGAAATGTCCATTTCCAATCTTGGTGAAATAATTGCTCTTAATCTAGTCAAGGTTTCGAGCCTCAAATATACTATGACATATCATACGTTATTGTTTTTATGTGCAAAAGTAATCATGATCACGTATCGAAGAGGGAATGTCAAATGCAAATACATAACCCTGTAATCAAATCAATTATGCAACCTGGATCTTTGGCGATGAAACTCAATACACGGTTAATGAAGTTCCCTAGATTGTTCAGCAGCTCACTGTTCAGCTTTGCTTGCAAATCAGCCCATGTGAACAATGTGTCTGATGCCTAAAGTTGAAAAGGGTTGGTAATGGTGAAGTAAGCATCTGGTTAGGAAAGCACAAACAACCATAGAAAGAGTGCAACGAAAAAAAGCTTACCTCAGGCCTATTAGTCAGCAAATAATATCTCCATACTTCAACAGGGATATTTGTGTCTTTTACATCATTCCCGAACACTCCTACACCCTTGCTCTTGGAGAATTTTCCTAAAGAAAATATAAAACCAAAAGTAAATAGCATAAATGAAGGTATCTCTCACAGTTACGACCTTTAAATATAGTTTATTGGTTACCAAATATCTAACCAGATTCATAGTTCAAGTATTCTGTGACGCTGATGGTTTTCATCAAAGTCCATCTTTCATTTGTTCCAAGAAGAGTGGAGGGAAATATCACCTGGAAAAATGATAAAGGTTACAACAGACGCCTAAACCTCTTAGAAAAGAATGGGACAAACACATCTAGAGATATTACTAATACCAAATAAAATGGTCACCGTTGAAGAATTAACTAACACAAATAACATGCCAGGCAGCAATCCTACATATCCTATATATTGTTCATATAATATTTATCGACAGCCCGAATTTGAATATACGACTTACAGTATGAAAAGGCACATTATCTTTTCCCATAAACTGGTAAAGTTCTACATCATCGGGATTCTTCCACCACTTTTCCCAATCTGGTGTGTGGCATGCAGTAATTGAGATATACCCAATAGGTGCATCAAACCATACATAGAATACCTGCAAATCAAAAAAGTCAAATTTAGGAATCCAGAATATCCAGTAATGTAAGCATCTCAATAGTTTTGCTACAAAAAATGAGAAACCTTATATCAAGTATGTATAAATCACAATTGTCGATAAAATTCACCTTGTCTTCAAATCCCTTATGTGGAACAGGGACACCCCATTTCAAATCCCGTGTGATGCAACGATGTTTCAGCCCTTCCCGGAGACAAGCATGTGTTGCTTGGACAGCATTTTGACTCCATCCTCCGGCAACTGACATGCGTCGGATATATTCTTCTAATCGGTCCTTCAGCAGAGGAAGTTCAAGAAACAAGTGGTTCGTATCCCGAATGCGTGGAGTATTGCGACAAACCTGTTTGTCAAGCACAACAACAGTTCAGACTTCAGAATGTGTTTCAACCTTTTCTAAGTTACGTGTAGAATCTCTCAAAATATTTCCACTTTTAATTGCCAGCATCATCATTATCCCATATCTTGATATTGTTTCTTCAGCAATAAGATTGCCAACCTTGCATTTAGGCTCCAGTAATTCCGTCGGATTTAAAAGCTTCTGGCACTTTTCACACTGATCACCACGGGCAGAGTCATAATTGCAAAATGGACAATTACCTTCCACGAGCCTATCAGCCAAGAATCTAGTGCATCTATCACAGAATGGCTTCACAAAAAAAAAAAAATAATAATAATAATAATAATTAATAATAATAATAATAATAATAATAATAATAATAAAATTAAAAATAATAATAATAATAATAACAATAGTGACAAACTTCACAATGATGCAAAATTTGGACATAGAACCCAAGACTAAAGATAAGAGTTATCTTTTAGTGAAACAAATCATTAGGAGCAACATTACACCTGTTGCATTGTGTTCTCTGAAAGCCAATTATTATCCAGTAATCTCTTAAAGATTGCTTGACAAATTTGAGTCTGCTGGGGCGTTGACGTACGCCCAAACTCATCGAAGCTTATATCAAACCACTCATACACCTTTCTGTGAATACTATGATATCTGCAACATAGTGGAACAATGCGGATCATATAAGTTTGATCTAGCCCGTAAATCAGTCAAACTGTTTCTTATGCCAGAGTGATCAACTACAAAAAACAATGCTAATGAAAATCGTAAAAAAAAAAAAAAAAAAAGTATTGCCCAGATCTAAACGAAAACTAAGTTAATAAGCCACAAGTTTATTTCAATATCATAATATTATCAATATTCCTCAAACATGGCACAAAAATCAGAAAATATTTCCATGCAGTACAGCTGTCTCTTTATGACATTCAATCTGCCAGGTCAGTTACAATGAAGAATTGGACTCATTTGATAAGTCTCATTTGTGCTGACAAAATAGATGACAACAGATTGGGTTTGAGTTGAGTTGACAAAATTGCCAATTCAGCCTGCAGATCCTTCAGGTTAAACCTACCCGTCCCGTAGCAAGAAAAGAGAAACACGAATTTCCAAATACAAGATTAAAAAGAAGGTTAAGCTGTTCAGGAAAAAGGAACCATCAAATCACTGAGGCCAGCTTTCATAGACACGATATATTTGCAACTTTATGCATTGCATGTTCTAACCTTTTTACAACATCTAAACTGGGGGACATAAATTTACTTCTACATAAGGTTAAAAGTATAAATCGATTATAATTTCTCAGAAATCCTATTTTTTGTTTACAAATTAGGGTAATTTTATATAAGAGAACGGTTACATGCATATCTTCTCATGTATGTCACTAGAATGCATACATAAACCTGATGAGGTCCTAAACCCTAACTCATGACCCATGTATAGTATCAAGAACCAACACCTCAAATTATGACTCAAATATATGGTCATTAATTGGAAGAAGAACCTTCATCTTTTATCTTCAAATCCCCTTGTCCACTACTTCCATAGTTTTATGCTCCTTCCCCTCTCTCCCTTTTCATCACAAAGGGACTTAGAGTTGAGATGCTGCTAAGTCAATCACATGAAACCATTCACTAAAATAAAATGATAAAGGGTCCTGGTAGAACTCATCCCCCAAACCACACTTACACACAATTACAGACCAGTAACTAAACGATGTGTGGCAAGCATAACTTACAAAAAAAATCATGTAAAGGATTCGAGATGGCAACACTAGTATAAGTGAGAATGTATGTAACAAACCCAGTCTATAAACATGTGTAGCAAATGCTAAGTGATTTCTACTTTTAGAACAATCAATTTCAAAGATAAAACAGCTAGCTATCAAATATTAGTTATATCAACAACCAATTACATGAATCGAAACCAAGTTCATCAAAAATGAAACATCAAAGTACCCTAATTACTTTACTGAACCAAAATCACAGGAAATATAAGTTCTCAATAAAGTACTTGTCACAAATCTCCTTTGGGGAACATCCTTCCTCCAATGCCTTAGTCTCAGTTGCTGTCCCATACTCATCTGTGCCACAAATATACAGTACAACATGCCCTCTCTTCCTGCAGAACCTCGCATATACATCAGCACTCAGCACACCTGGTCAAAACAAAAACAGAACTTCGTTTCTCAGAAATGCAAAAATGAACTATCCCAAACCAAAAATGTAAATGAAGATACAATATACCAAGCGTGTAAGAATTGCAGCTAATCAGACATCCAAGAGTGGAAAACATGAAATCAAATTAAGAAAGCAAACAGAACAAAAATATTACAGCCAATGATGTTGCCGAGATGGGGAACATTGTTGACGTACGGCAAGGCGCTGGTGATAAGAATGTTCCGTTTGCCGGGAATTGGTAGCATGGCAGCGGCGGCGGCGGCGGCGGAAATATTATCGCTCATCTTCAGATTATCGATGATATGAAAGGGTTACAGCGTTTGGAAAGGGATTCTGTGAGAATTTCTTTGGCTTTTGGGGTTCGATTGTTTAAAGATGAAAAATATTCTCCTTACTCAAAATGCAAGAAAATATTATCAAGACAACAAAGATTATGATATTTTAAAATTACTTTTACTCTAATTGTAAGATTTGGGATTAATTATGAAAAAGAAAAGTATAACTCCTATCCTATTTTTAAAATAGACGAAGAGGGTTTAGCACAGGCGCATACCTTGCTCGGCGTATCCCATATCTCGAGTTTGAGTCATTGAGAGGGGAATTGGGAACCAGTATTGATCCTCCTGTCTGTGTAAAAAAAATAAATAAATAAATAAAATCCTATTTTTAAAATACAAATGTCATTGTAAAATATTTATAATACTAGTGTAACGTCTGTGTATTACACGGGTGCTTGCTAATTTTTTTCTTAAAATATAAAATTAATGAGAAAAAGTAGTTGGAAATTTAAATATTTTTTATAAAAATGTATATATTATTATATATTTAGCATAATACTTTTTATTTGTGCGACTTACCTGTGTTATATTAAAACATTTTTTTTAACTTACAACATATAAGTACATTAAACATAAATATATCAATTGAGAAATAATTTTATTTTTCTAATGAATTTTAATAAATATAATTATTTTTTATTAGTATAAAGATAAATATAATTTATTTACTTCATATATACAATATAGATGTCAAATCGAAGACCATCAAAAGATGATTAGTTTGATATATTATATATGTAAAACCGATAAAAAATACAAAAATTATCAACTTTTAAAATACATTTTTAATTCAATAGTTAATTGAAGGAAACAAATCAAAAGTCGAGGATATATTAGTCGCTTAGTGCCTCACTATGTAAAATTACAAAGAATTAAAGGGTTATATTAGTGCAAGAAATATTAAATACCTAAGTTAGCTAAATAATTTTTATGGAATGTTCGAACCTAGATTATTAATTATTAATATATCAATATTATTTGTCAAAACCTAATTACGAAGCATGATTATTCGCCAAGTAGGATTCTAAAGCACCAGAAGCAGTCACGTAGGCTCAACGCATTCGAGAATTATATATAGAGGAATTTATTGTTATAAGATTTGATTAAAATAATATTTTGAAATATTTTCAATATGTATTGTTATAAATCTTAATAAATTGATCATGTAAATTATATGCATACAAAAAAAGTTACAACATTTATAATATTTTATTGTAAATTATGATGACGACTAATGGATCATTTGTCAAACTATCTATGTATTTTATTAACTTGGAAAAACAATTAAAATATTTATAATATGTATTGTTATAAATTAATGATAACCAACAGTCGACCAACGATGTCACTTGTTACCTTAGAAAAAAAAAAAACAAAATATTTATAATAAATATTTTTTATAACTTATAATGATAATCAACTGGTTGGTCGAAAAAAATATGTATTTTATATATTTATTATCGTACTTTTAAATGTTTAATTTTGTCACACTTATATAATTTTCTGCTTATTTATGTCTTTTGATGGATTTTAGTACTTTTATATTAGTATGAATTTTTTGATATTGAAGTATTTTCATGGACGATACGTCGAAAGAAGATTGTACCAGACAGTATGGGGAGCCCTGCATTCGGCACAATATAAGCCACATTGTGCCCCAATGATAGAATAAAAAGCTTACACATATTGGATTTGAGGCACTCGTTCCACGAAAAAATGATGCCCCTTGACCATCTCCATAAACATTTTACAATAAAAGTTTTGGTCACTATTTAGACAATTATACTCCATTTCATTTTTATTTATACCTTTTTTCAAATTTTTAATTATTTATCTTGTAACCGGTGTTTTAATTGTTTTGGGCAGTTTTTAGTTTT